AGCAGTAAGGTAGAAAACCAGAACCTGTTGCAATTCACGGGGAGATCAAAGGATGATCCATGGTGGTAGAGATGACGGCGAAATTTGGTAACGATCTCTTAAGCAATTGTGGGAATTGCTTTGGGCAGTTGTGGAGGGTTGATGGATGGCTGTGGAAGGGCAGCAAGACGCCAAGAACGCTGCTCTGATACCAGGTGTTAGAACCCTTGCAGATTCTAAACTTGGGGTTGATCTCTTTAGGGGATCGACCTCCTTGGAACTCTATAGGGGTTCCTCCCTCCAAGTTGCTGCTCAAAGACTGCAGAAAATATTCATCTATTGTTTATCAAAAGAGGAGGAATACATGGCTATTTATAGGGTTTCTAAACCCTAACTCCTAATAGGACTCCTACTCAAGACTCCTACTTCTAACCAACTCCTAATAAGACTTCTACTCAAGACTCATATTCCTTTACAACTCCTAATTCTTCTCTAAGAAACAACCTCCTAACCCTAGCCAACCTCTTCACCTCTTTAATAGGGATCAGCTTAGGTAGGTTTTACATGAATGTCCCTCTCAATTAGGACTCTCCTAGCTAGAGTCCTAACAAACTGCCACCAATAATAATTGCCTAAGATTTCCGAATCAAAACTTAACATGCATTATGTTGAAATATACATGATATCAAAGGAATTAATTCATTCATGTCCAGATAATATAATATTTCATGATTAATACTTAACGATTCATAGATAATATTTTTTTTTGACATAAATCATTTGATTCAAGAGATACCGCTTTTTTGTCAGAAGTGATTCTTCCTCTGCATCACGTCGTGTTGTATCATATGCATAAGCCTGCTTCTTCCACAACTCATCACGAATTTCCTGCAACTCATTAGAGGGATCACTGCACTCCTCAATGCTCCTAGGCACCCTCCTCTGGTTTTTCATATCATAGTTCCTCAGAGCAGCTTTGCTAAATATCTTCTTTCCTGCACTCGCCCTGCTCATCAAACCTGAGTCTTCCTCTGACTCCCCGTCACTTTTGATGCTAAACTTAGGAAACAGTCGCGAATTCTTTGGAGTACCCCTGTCTGCATTGCGATGCTCCGTCATCGAATTTCCATTTGAAACAACCCTTGTATCTGACTCGGAATCTTCATCGCTCGATGAATTCCTCCACCTCATCTTCGACCTCATCCCATTTCGTCTCCATGGCATCGTCGAGTACTCCCTCTTACTAAAAGAACCCAAGCTCGAACTTGTCCGGCCGGCCCTACTTTCAACCACGTTCCGTCGCTCCGCCACAAGCTTCCTCAAATCAAGCGGCGGCACGGAGCCCGAAGCATGGGACCGACGAGGTGCAGAGAGGATGGGGCCGTCATCCTCGTTCCAGAGGTCCACTGCCCCGGCCTTCATAAACCGATCAGCAAGGGCCTTGATGTGCTCTTTGGAGGTCATGGCGCCACCGGAGTTGGAGGCGGGATCGGCGGAGTCGCCGGAGGATCTCCCAGCGCTCTTGGCGCGGATCTCGGTTCGGAGGCGAGCGTGGTAGAGCTGCTTCTCCTGCTGGAGGAGGCGGCGCTCCTTCTCCCTCGCCATCTTCTCGTGCATCCGCTTGTACTGCCACTTGTTGAGGCCGCCGGGAAACGTACGCGGGCCGCCTCCCATGAATCGGAGGAGGGCGAGGTGGGAGAGGAGCTTCGGGAGCGTTCTTGAACGTTCTCGAAGGACGGCAGGGGACGCCATGGCCGTGGGGCTGCAGTGGAGGGGGTGGGGAAAGTGGGATTTGGGTTTAGGGTTTTAGGAGGAAGAGAGTGAGGGTGGAGCCGAAGGGAACCCGGTACCAGCAACGGACCAAAAGCATTTTGTTGTCTCGGAAACGAGTGAGCTGAAACGACACAAAAGTAATTTGATCTTCTAATGACTCGAGTCGGGATCGAGTCCAAACCTGAAGATCCAATAACCGATTCGTGGACACCACATGCAAATTGACTCGATTATAAAGGGCAATTTAGTAATTATGGATACCAACAAAATGATGGTGGATCAGTCTGACTGAGTTCGAGCGCTGCATGCATAATAAGCTCTCTAAAGGACGGCTCGAATACTTACTCGATGGTCGGTCTCAATTAAAAAAATACTTGATCGAACATCGACTTAGATTCTCGATATAATCCCACCAACACTTTAATTAATCATCAAATATTATAAATTTTTTTAATAAACAATCACTTGACCTCGATTATTATAGTCTAGCGAAGATTATATCGGGGAGAATATTTTGGGATATAAATAAAATATTCTCTTAACATTTGTCTATTGTTTTTCTTGGTTGGATCATTAAAAGCTCAAAAAGTATAGTCATGTGTTAGCTTTAACATGTTTAGACATTGTCACGCCTCCCCTAAATTGATAATATTAAAATTTAATAATAATTTATTTCATGATCCAAATATATATTTGAGCACATTGAGAAAACATTCAAGTCATATCCATAATTTCATAATTCATAAGACCTATACAGTTTAAAATCATATACTACATCACTTGATGAATCATAAAATCTAAAGCTAACTCATCATGACAATAAATACCTCATAAATCCACAAGTGTGATATTCTATACAATCACAAAAATCAATATTTACCCCATATTCATATCATCACACAAATTTACTTAACACTCCAAAATCCTAAACATATGATTCTTTAAACTTTTATAAGACTCATAAGTTCATATTTATCATCAACATTCCACTAAACACCAAGTATACTTATACAATAAAAATATATCATCCACAAAAGGTTTGCCCAAAGTCTTCTAGCTTTCCATAGTCTTAGCCTAATTTAAACATTATAGCGAGCGACAATGAGCATATAGAGCTCAGTAAGTGACTGATATATCCATAGTGAAAGAGGATAGTTTTCAAATAAAAAAAGTACCAAATACAAGGTTGGGATATAAAAAATTCATAGATAGCCACTCAACGAATGTAGAATTACAATATCATTTCATTCGAAGCATGTTTTATTCATAACAATGGAGTAAAGACTAATTGGAGTAAATCATTGACGCAAGGAGCATTTCGGGACATATCAATGACGTATGGAATGTTTCGGAATATGTCAATGGCATAAAAAACATTTCGGATCGTATCAATGGTGGATAAAATATTTCGGAGCATATCAATTGCGTATGAAATGTTTCGAAACATGTCAATGGCATATGAAACATTTTGAAGCATATTAATGGCGGATGAAATATTTCGAAATATATCAATAGTGTATGAAATGTTTCAGAATATATCAATGGCATATGAAGCATTTTGGAGCATATCAATGGCAGATGAAACATTTCGGAACATATCAATGGTGGATGAAATGCTTCGGAACACATCAATGGCATATGAAGCATTTCGGAGTATATCAATGGCATAGGAAGCATTTTGGAGTATATCAATGACGTATTAAATGTTACGAAATATATCAATAGCATATGAAGCATTTCGGAGTATATTAAGGACATATGAAATGTTTCGGAGCATATCAATAATAAATGAAATATTTCGGAACATATCAATGACGTATGAAATGTTACAGAATATATTAACGGCATATGAAGCATATCGGAGCATATCAATGGCGGATGAAACATTTCGGATTATATCAATGACATATGAAGCATTTCGAAGTATATCAATGACATATGAAGCATTTCGGAGCATATCAAGGACGTATGAAATGTTTCGAAGTATATCAATAATAAATAAAACATTTCAGAACATATCAATAACGTATAAAATGTTACGGAGCATATCAACGAAATATTTCAGAGCATATCAATAGTATATAAAGCATTTCGGTGCATATCAAGGGCGTATGAAACGTTTCGGAGCATATCAATAACAAATAAAACATTTCAAAACATATCAAAGAACAAATACGAAACAGAAGCTCAAACATTGCATATGACGTTGCATACATTTCATTCTTATCCAAAGCATATATAGAAGCACATAAACAAAGCTTTGGATATCATATCAAATACATAGATTGTGAAGTGGGATCATAACATAATACGGTCCATCCATTTCTGAATAACCACCAATATGAGTCTCCCACGTTTGGGAGCTCCATCCACCTATATTTGAGTGAAGTCATAGGGGGATGGTAAAGCATCACGGGCTCTAAGTATAACTCCTTTTACTATTTCTAGCAAAGGTTCACATTTATCCCATAAATACCAAAGTACAAAAGGATATTGTGAACAATAAAATTGGGACATATTGGAAATACATGTGTAACAACAAAATGCATATGCCTATATGAAATATTATGATACAAACATAAACTTTACATAATAGATTCAGGTATGTAAATATTTGTAGGACAATAGTATATAAGAATTCAAAATAAAAATATAAAGCTCAATTGAAGTAAAGATTTTAGTTGAAATCAATTTCCAAAGAGATGAACAAGAATAAGCGAAATCGATCAAAGCTCGATTCTAATAGAATTTGAGAGGCACACTGCATGAATTATTTAGATAACTATTTATACTCTAATTTACACAAAAATAGGGGTTATTCGAAAGATGTATCAATCTAGTTTTAAAAAAATTATATTTTGTATGAATAGGGATTTCCAACAATAAGTTATAAATAATTTAGTAACAAAAGGTTAGAGAACATTATTTCTGTTTTATAGAATTCATAGAGTTAATTAAAATAGGTGATTCAATAGGCATTTATAGTCTAAATTTTTTAAATTAGATATACATAGAAAGGTTTATGAGTCTAGTTTCTAATAAATCATATTTCATATAAATCGAAGTTTTCAACAAAGAGCTATAAGCAAAAGAGTATTAAAAGGTCAAAACTAATAGTCTATATTTTACATATTTTATAGGGTTAATTGAAATAACAGTTTCGGTAGGTAAATAGACTCCAAATTTATTAATCTTAGTATCAAAAGAAAGAGTTATAAGTATATTTTTGGGTGAATTTAGTTTTTCCAAGAAAGTTATAGCTAGAATAATATAGAAAGGTCAAATCTCAAAAAATTATAAATTTACTATTTTATTCCCAAACGATAGAAATATAAGCATAAAGCCAAAATCTTCCAAAGTTTTTAGAATTAAGATGAAACCAGAGATCAAGATTTCTATAAGGTAGGGTTAGAACACTTACCTTAGAAAAATTTGAGTCTTAAATATGTGGAATTGATGCAAAACCTCAAGCAAAACAAAGCTTCTTCTCCTTCTTCTACTTTAATTTCTCGTCCCTTCTCCTCTCAAACCCACGTTGGTTATAGCAAGTATCTCTCTTTTGTTAAGTTTTCCTTCAATCTCTCATCTAATTACTTAAGTTTGATTAACACAAGAATTACAAAGTGATAAGCATGCATGAAAGAAGCCTATGTGTCATCCTTAGAACAAATATATGTGACACCAACCTTAGGTTAGCTAATGACACATGCCCACCATTTTTTTTAAAACCTAATATAAATATTTCACAAATCATATCATATTTTTAATATTTATATTTAGATCCTTATAATACAAATAAGTCCTTACAAAATTAAAAAAAATAAAGGATGTTACAGAGATAGGCACGTTTGATGTCTATAGATAATTAGTTTAAAAAGGATGCATTGAGTAAACGGGCGCATTGGGCAATGGATGACACAACACTAATTGAAACTGTTATAATTTTTGTTTATGAGCTTACGTTGAGGGATGGAGTATCTTAACTAATTGATCGATCCATCTGCGAACAAGTGTGAACATGAGAAACTCGTTAAAATGGCGTTGAGGCACCCACATTAGGCGATAAAGGAAACAATAATCAATTCACATTAGGCGTTGAGCATCTACACTTGTCCTCATTCTAATGAAAAAATAATGTGAATAGAGATTATAATGGTGGATCAATCCAACATGATTCCAGCCCATATGTACAAAAAAAATCTTTTTGTGTAGCCAAAAAGGGTTCGGAGGCTCGTTTGATGGTTAAGAAAGGCTCAAATATTTGCTGAGTGATCAATTTACACAATGATCAAGGTTTCTAACACTCGATTTGATATAAACCTACACAAAAGATTAATCAGATGAGATTTTTGATATGGTCACTTTAATACTCTAATCAATCATGAAACATATTAAAAATTTATAGTAAATAGTCAGACCTCAATTATTATAATTTAGTAGAATTTTATAGTCATTTTATTTGAAGTTAATATTCAAAATATCCTCTTAACATTTACCCTGTGTTTTCTTGATTGGGGTACCACGTGTCAAGCATTGATTAGGACCAAAAAAAAATTCTATAAAACTTTATTTACTATTTTTTAATATAATCCTCTTTGACATTTTATATACACTTATTGTATTTCGAATTACTCAAAATTAGTAAACTTGTATGCTCGTAAATAAAACTGAGTGCATTGATATTACGTAATTGTAGGAGATTCATCAAACCTTTATAAAAGATCATCTTACTTTCAATCTGTGACTAAATTAAAGGTATTCTTTTTTTTCTTCGACAACATCGACCGAAGAATTCCTTATCGTTCTCGTCCATATCCAATGCCAATTCAATTAAAACAAAAACTGTGCCACGGAGAAGAAGATGAACATTGTTGTCATCTGTTCCAGTTCAGATAATGCATGAATAAACAACTGCGACTGTAACATGCAGCAGACTTGACATGGCTTTATTTAGGGTGGCATAAGCAACCAAAGTCCGACAAAGACCACAGTGCTCCTCGTCCCCATCACATGTTTGGTCTCATGTTGAGGTGATTCGCCACCCTCTGTCCCAGCGTTGCGTC